TGTTACATTGAAATTCTAATGTAAGAGTGTTAATGCATCGAGGATCACACATGCATAACTCTGTTCATTCTTTCATTTAGTCATATCCAACATCAATCAAATTTCTAAAACACACACAAAGCACTTATTCATGAATTAGGAGCTAGGCCTAGCTAATCAGAGAAATAAATGTTTTGACCAATTATATTTCAGCATATATACTCACCAAATATTGCAATGTATTTAAATAAGTCATACTTGTACATTATCAATTCTTCAAAACAGTAGTATTTCGAAAATAGTGAAAACAAATTCTTCGCCTCAAATGGAATAATGATCCTCACCAATTAAACCCACTGATACTATGAATATAATCAGTCAAGTACTCGAGCGCCGCCACTGGGAAGTACGAGTCTGCAGCTGCAGTTGCCACCTTATTCACCATTGGCCCCGCCTGTGCAGCCACCTCAGCAGTATTATCCACGAACACTTCCGCAACATCACTCATAATCTCAATCTTATCCACCGTCCCTTCGCCAACACTCACACTCGACATATACCTCCCCAAAATCGGCCCACGACCTACTGGAATGGCAAATCTCCGATCATGAAACAAGTTTCTCCACGTATTGAAGGTGCTGAAATCATTTCCGGTCCCGAAAAATTGGCCTTGAAAATGATTGCCGATATTTTGAATTCTTGTAATGGGGGCATCGCTCGGGGTAGTAGGTGTTGGATTGTTTTTCTACTGATGACTAGCATGTAAATTTTGATTGTTGGTTGTTGGGCCCATAATGGGATGGGCCATTTTTTATTAACACATATGGTGGCCCCTACTCTCATCCCACTTAGTCCCCGTTTGGTGCACATTTTGAAGGTAAGAATGCATGTTTACTGTTGATGTGATGGGGAATATGTGGTTGAGAAAGAAGGAAAAGTTATTAATGTGATGGAAAATATTATTTTATTGAAGAATGTGTGGTTGAAAATGAGTGGAAGAATGAGAATGAAAAAAATAATGTAAACCAAACAGGGCCTTAATATAGAATTGGCCTATTGAGTTCTATATAGATATACATACACCCTTTTTTCCTCGTGACCTTCTAGAGGATTCTCGATTACAAGGGTTTTGAAGGGGTAGAGAGTAGTTCTCTCCATAGCACATTTTCTTCCATCTTCTACAGCCTAAATAATCCATGGAAAGTCAATCACAAGCTATTGGAGGTATGATTTTCATTGTTATTGTTGAACTCATGCTATTATAATGAGAAGAAATTATTAAATCTATTGATATCTAACAAT